TTTTGGGGGTGCTCAAGCACCTCTAAATTTTCAGTACCCCTGAAAAATACAGAAACTATCATTAGGATTTTGTAAGGAAACTCGGTTCTCGAGTCTTAGATTCACCAAAATATTGAATACTGTAAATATAAAATAAATTATGACATCTTTAAATGGACCAGTAAAATCCGTTTTTTCTTTCTTTTTTTTTTTTGCAGATGTTGTATCCTCAACACAACCTGTCAATCAACCCAGCAGGCTTGTCAGCAACTGACCTATCAGCGATCTCAATTTGCCTTGAAGGTATACGCCCCTTACCTGCAGGAGCTCCACCCACTTTTCCTTCAAGAACATTGTCAGCTTTTGCTTTACGAACGCTTTGTGGTCAGAGGGACTTCGTGAAAAATCATCAGAAAAAATGGTTAAACGTTGTCAGTGGAGAACATGTGATTCAGACAGCGTTACCCTCAGTGTTTAGAGGATGGAATACATCAAGTTCATGCTCAAAAATCCAGGTAAACAACAACGTTAAGTCAGGTCCAAGAACCCAGAAACTCCAGAAACCATCTTATCACCATCAAACTGGTTGGTCCACTATATGAGTGTGCTACTTATGGGACTGAGTTTGTTGTGGCTCCTCAGACTGATGAAGTCCTTTGGATGAAGGACGAAACATTTTAACAAATAAAAGAAACCGTCTGGAGGACCTGACTTAACTTTGTTGAACAGTGGAATACAGTTTACAGTAGTCCCTCGCTACTTCGCGGTTCGTTTTCCGCGGACTTGCTCTATTGCAGTTTTTCAAAATAAGACTGGACATGACACACAGTTGGCTGATTGATGGTTGAACTGCACGATCTGGATGGATGTTTATTTAAAATAAATTATTTTAAATTATTTAGCACCTGCTGGACCAGTATGCAGCCTTCAGCTCAGTGCTCCCTCTTGTAGCTGATCAGCTGATTTCTGCTCTGCTACGAAAAAGTGGGTGTGGCCAAGAGCAGCCGAGGCAGAGAGCTGAAATCATGACAATCTGTGCTCTTAGAACTTTTCGAGCTTAGAAACATCGTTTAGAATATTGCAACAGTGTGGGAAGAGTTTAAAACGCCTTTAAAA